GCTCCAAATTATAAAAAAAATAATAATAAATTCACATTTTTATACCTGCAAAAAAGATGTGCAGTTATTACTTCTTTTCAAGGTAAACTTATCCTTTAAACAGTGGATTATTTTTGGAGACTAAGAATATTGTTTAGTGTCACTTTAATCTTACAATCAGTTAAATGCACCATGGAGCAAAGCAAGTGCTTTTTCTATTGCTATGCATGTTGGTTTCAGGAACACACTGAACTTTTCCGACTTCTTTGTACTTACAAGTCCCCAGAGGGCTTCAGGAAAATGCTGGCCGAAAATGTTGCCTGCTTCTGGTATTCTTATGCCTGCCAAAAAAAATTACCAGTGCATTTTGCAGAAAATATTTCTATACCCATGTTAGAATTTTTGTTTATCATGCTGCAAAAAATATTTATTAAAATGTAGAAAATATATTAAATAAGCAAATTTCACATTAAAGGACAGAGATTAGATATGCCAGGTTTTTGTTTTGCTCTCTGTCTTCCTCCTTTCTACTAGCAGCTATAGTAGTGTTAAAAGAAAAGGCAGTGAAAAAACTTCTCCCCATTTCCTTGTTGTGGTTTATACAAGGACAATCCCTTAAAATGATATCATGACCTGAACTGACCATTTCATGCTTTTCTGGTAGAAATCCCGTACACTTCCGCCCATTAATCTCTGCTTAGAAAATGTCCCTGCCTGCCTTTACTAATGGCTTCTGAAGATCCTTCCCTGCCCTGAAACACTGAAATTCTTGATGTACTGACTCTTGTCGGTTTTGACATTAGAGTCCTAACTATTCAACAGTACAACAGCGGAGTCACAAAAAGTAGTAGCTGCCGGTTTTGCCACGGGACCTCGCTGTCTCATGATCTGTAATCAGACATCAGAGATCTTACTCTTTTTAACTGTAGAATATTTTAGATTGTAAACCTGTAGGGGTTTTCAGAAAACACTTTTTTTTAGTAATGAATTGCTCAGCCGTTTTTTCCGGATACGTCATGTTTACACATAATGGGACCAAAAGCGTCTGTGATTTGTTGGCCAGGATCTGTTGTGTTCTGCTACGGCACAGGTGACTCATTCACAGTGACTGAGCTAGTGATTAACTCATTTGTTCTCAGGTAGGATTGACACCGAAAACTGGCATTCATACAGCCATGCATATCAGGACCACTTAGCGCTACTTAGCAAGCTTCGGTCCACAATTGCAAGCATTCTTACTTGGCTGCTGGAGCCGGCTGTGCTTCTAACCTGCAGCCTTTTGGATCAGAGAGCTGGCGTTACATAACAGTAGTTACTGTCTTTCATGTGGCGCTCGTAGAAAAGGCAAGGCAGGGCAGACTGGGAGGAGGAGAAGAAGAAGAGCTCATTAAAGGCACATTGCCCAGAAAAAGTGGTTCAACCTACATTGTCGTTGCCTTCCCAGTTTAGATGTAGCAGGCTTTACATTGCTGTTTTACATCTAGACTACTTTCCACTCGCCAGTCCTTTTGCTGAGCTTGATGTATTGTTAGAATTTATGCAATACTACGTATTTTTATGTAATATTCATCTACTAATAAATTCCAGACCCTATACATATATACAGTACTGTGCAGAAGGCAGTGTAAAGTTCACGGGTATAGCACAGGGGTGTCCCTAGGGTTGGTGTCACCCGGGGCGATAACACTTGGTGACACCCCCTCCGACGATCCCCGCAGAATGGATCGGATCTGCAGATTGAGCATAATGGATCGGACTCCGATCTGCGGATTGGGGAGCATAATGGACTCCAATCCATTATGCTCAATCCGCAGATCCGATCCATCCTGCGGGGATCGTCGGCTTGCTTTACAACTTACCTTTTCATAGAGCAGGTCCGGTGTCACCCCATGCAGTAGGTTTCACCCGGAGCGGCACGCACCCCCCGCGCCTGCCTAGGGACGCCCCTGGTATTGCACCTCAGGATCACGTGCAATGCCGTTTATCTTAACCATAAAGGTATTTTTTATTCCTTTTAAGAAAACAAATCAGCACTTTCAGCAGCAACACAGAGTTGACTTAATTCCAGAAAACGTAACACAAAAGTTTGCTTATCTGCAACCCAAACATCATAAAAGAAACATCAGGAACCATCACATTCACATCACTAAATGGCAGACCATGGCCCACAAATGGAGCGAATGATAGTCCTATACAGGCCGCGGCTCTGCCACTTAGCAGCCTGGATGTCTTCCTCCACCCCCCCACCCCCACCGCGTCCGCTGCCACCGCCACAGCATTCATCCATACAGCAGGTAGGAGGCATGGCATGTCCAGACAGAGGGCGGGAGCTGGCCAGCTTTTCAAGTTAACACGCCGGTGATTGGTTGCTAGGAGTTTCTAGCAACCTATCACATGCCTGTTAACATGAAAAGTATGTCCCCCGTGTCCTGCAATCTGTCCAGACGTGCCAAGCCTTCTGCCTTCTACCTGCTGTGTAAGGTAGGATCAAAACGATTAGAGGAGGGTTGTGATTGGCAGGGGGCAATGTAAAGGGGGGTATTCATTTCATATGAAGAGGAAGGGGTTGCAAGGAAAGTGGGCTGTGAAGGGGACTGAGGTGCAAGGAAGGGGGGCTGTGAAGAAGCTGGGGTGCATGAAAGGGGGGTTTGAAGTGGACTGGGGTGTAAGGAAGGGGGGGGTTGTAAAGGTGAATGGGGTGCAAGTAAGGGGAGACTATGAAATGGACTGGGTGCAAGGAAGGGGAGTTGTAAAGGGGACTGGGGTGCAAGTAAAGGGGAGGACTGTGAGGTGAACTGGGGTCGAAGGAAGGGGGGTTGTAAAGGGGACTGGGGTGCAAGTAAGGGGAGACTATGAAATGGACTGGGTGCAAGGAAGGGGGGTTGTAAAGGGGACTGGGGTGCAAGTAAAGGGGAGGACTGTGAGGTGAACTGGGGTCGAAGGAAGGGGGGTTGTAAAGGGGACTGGGGTGCAAGTAAGGGGGGGCTATGAAAGGGACTGAGATGCAAGGAAAGGTGAGGCTGTAAAGGGTACTGGGGTGCAAAAAAGGGGGGCTGTGATGGGGACTGGGATTCAAACATAGGAGGCTTTGAAGGGGACTGGGATGCAAGGAAGGGGGGCTGTGATGTGAACGGGTGACAGAGGACACTGATGTGAAGGGGAGTGGGACTGTGATGTGAGGGGGGGGGGCTGAAAACACTGATGTAAAGGGTGGGGGGCTGTGGTGTGAAGGGAGGACGTGAATGCAAAGGGGGGCTGTGATATAAAGCAGGCACTGTAATGTAAAGAAGTATTATAAAGGGGGATGCTGTGATGTAAAGAGGGAGTTTTGCAATGTAAAAGGGGAAGCTGTGGTATAAAGGGGGGACTGGGATGTAAAGAGGGGGTTTTGCAATGTAAAAGGGGAAGCTGTGGTATAAAGGGGGGGCTGTGATGTAAAGAGGGGGTTTTGCAATGTAAAAGGGGAAGCTGTGGTATAAAGGGGGGACTGTGATGTAAAGAGGGGGTTTTGCAATGTTAAAGGGGAAGCTGTGGTATAAAGGGGGGGCTGTGATGTAAAGAGGGGGTTTTGCAATGTAAAAGGGGAAGCTGTGGTATAAAGGGGGGACTGTGATGTAAAGAGGGGGTTTTGCAATGTAAAAGGGGAAGCTGTGGTATAAAGGGGGGCGTGATGTAAAGAGGGGGTTTTGCAATGTAAAAGGGGAAGCTGTGGTATAAAGGGGGGACTGTGATGTAAAGAGGGGGTTTTGCAATGTAAAAAGGGGAGCTGTGGTATAAAGGGGGGACTGTGATGTAAAGAGGGGGTTTTGCAATGTAAAAAGGGGAGCTGTGGTATAAAGGGGGGACTGTGATGTGAAGAGGGTTGTGATGTAAAGGGAAACTGTAATGTAAGGGGAGGGGGGGGGGGGCTGTGTTATACGAAGCATCCAAGTCATAGCACAAACATGAGACTCGGATATCTGCTGGATGAAAATTTAATGACTGGACCTCCATGAATTTTAATTCCATATACCTGATATATGGGATTTACCACAAGGTTAGCACAGTCCAACTCTGGTTGTTTGGCAGCTTCCAGCACATGTGCAGCACTCAGACAGGTCTCTCTCTTCAAACTCCTACTCCACCACACCTAACACTATGAATTACCTGTTTTATGTGCTGCTTAACCTTGCAGGGACCGGCGTCCCCGTAGTCAGGGGCAGAGGTTCTTTTCCCAGCCAAATATCACTCTGAACCTCCAACGTTCTAGGTCCCAAATAAGCAATTACAATCACAGAGAGAACTGCAAGTCTCCTTGTACAACTGTCCTGGAATTCTTCACCCTGCACGGGCTAGACCCTTGAGTACACCATCCTATCCCCCTTAAAGGGACAACAACTTGAATATTAGGGCCACATAGCATCCGTCCAGGACCCATCCATTTACATCCGTTGACATTGGTAAGCCTGCAAAAAACTTTGGCAAGCTTGCAAAGACATGGATGTATACTGAGATATACTGATGGTCATCCATATACAGTTGTGTTCAAAATAATAGCAGTCAGACATCACTAACCGGATCAATCACTGTTTTTGGTAGAAATGCTATTTCTACATGGCAAATAATTTACTAGCAGGTGTGGTAGAGTAATAGAAATCCAACAGACCCAACAGTCATGACATGCATGCTGCTGATTCTGTGTAATTGAATCACTAATTGAAAGGGGCATGTTCAAAATAATAGCAGTGTGGAGTTCTATTAGTGAGGTCATTTATTCTCTGAAAAACAGGTGGCAATTATTGCCCTTATTTAAGCACTAGCCTACTGGGCACTTTACCCCCTTCCTGCCCAGGCCAATTTCCAGCTTTCAGCGCTGTCACACTTTGAATGACAATTGCGCGGTCATGCAACTCTGTACCCTTATGAAATTTTTATCATTTTTTGTGACAGATAGAGCTTTCTTTTGGTGGTATTTAATCACCTCTGGGTTTTTTACTTTTTCTTAAACAAACCAAAAACCACTGAAAATTTTGAAAAAAAAAAATGAGGCTGCAGTGATGGGCACTGATAGGCTGCACTGATGGACACTGATAGGTGGCACTGATGGGCACTGATGAGGAGGCACTGGTAGGTGGCACTGATGGGCATTGACAGGCATCACTGATGGGCACTGAAAGGCAGCACTGATACATGGCACTGATATATGGCACTGTTAGGTGGCACTGACTGGCACTGATAGGTGGCACTGATGCACACTGATAGACGGCACTGACTGGCACTGATAGGCGGCACTGACTGGCACTGGTAGGTGGCACTGATTGGCAGCACTGATAGATGGCACTGATTGGCATTGATAGGTGGCACTGACTGGCACTGATGGATGACACTGAAAGGCAGCTCAGATGGGCACATATGTGGCATTGATGTGCACTGGTATGCACTATGTGGCATTGATGTGGCACTGATCGGCACTGACAGCTGGCACTGATGGACTTTGACAGGTGGCACTGCTGGGGCTACACTGATCATCAGGGCACAATGATCATCAGTGCCCTGATGATCAGTGTACATGTCCCCTACGCGGAAAGCCGATTACCGCCTCTCCTCTCCTCTTGAGCTGTCAGCGTGACAGCTCGTGAGGAGAGAAATGCCGATAACCGGCATTTCCGTGTTTACATGTGATCAGCTGTGATTGGATACAGCTGATAACATGAACGAGCCGACATCTTCGGCTCTTTCCGTGATCGGTGATCCCCTGTGTCTGAAGGACACAGCGAACCGCCGATCTCTGCGCCGCGCGCTCCCTGAGCCGTGCATGCGTGTGAGAATGGGAGGACGTCATATGGCGTCGTCTTAGAACGAGAGAACCACCTTGCGCCCGTCATTGGACTATATGGTGGGTGGGAGGTGGTTAAGGAAGGAAGGCAGCAAATGTTGTACATGCTGATTACGGTGCATTTCTCTCTGAAATTCTGAGGAAAATGGGTCGTTCCACACATTGTTCAGAAGAACAGCGTACCTTGATTAAAAAGTTGATTGGAGAGGGGAAAACATATAAAGAAGTGCAGAAATGATAGGCTAAAATGACAGCTAAAATGATCGCAAATGCTTTAAAATTGCGACCAAAACCTGAAAGACGTGGAAGAAAGCAAAAAACTACCATTCGAATGGATAGAAGAATAGCCAAAATGGCAAGGACTCAGCCAACAATCAGCCCCAGGAAGATCAAAGAAGGTCTAAAGTTACCTGTGAGTACTGTTACAATTAGAAGACGCCTATGTGAAGCCAAGCTATCTGCAAGAAGCCCCCGCAAAGTCCCACTGTTGAAAAAAAGACGTGCTGAAGAGGTTACAATTTGCCAAAGAGCACATTGACTGGCTTAAAGAGAAATGGCGCAACATTTTGTGGACTGATGAAAGTAAGATTGTTCTTTTTTGGGTCTAGTGGCCGGAGACAGTTTGTCAGACGACCCCCAAACACTGAATTCAAGCCACAGTACACTATGAAGACAGTGAAATATGGTTGCGCAAGCATCATGATATGGGGATGTTTCTCATACTACGGTGTTGGGCCTATTTATCGCATACCAGGGATCATGGATCAGTTTGAATACATCAGAATACTTAAAGAGGTCATGCTGCCTTATGCTGAAGAGGAAATGCCCTTGAAATGGGTGTTCCAACAAGACAACAACCCCAAACACACCAGTAAACGTGCAACATCTTGGTTCCAGACCAACAAGATTGACGTTATGGAGTGGCCAGCCCAATCCCCGGATCTTAATCCAATAGAAAACTTGTGGGGTGACATCAAAAATCCAGTTTTTGAGGCAAAACCAAGAAATAGAGAACTGTGGAATGTAGTCCAATCATCCTGGGCTGGAATACCTGTTCACAGGTGCCAGAAGTTGGTTGACTCCATGCAACACAGATGTACAGCAGTTCTCAGAAACAGTGCTTATACAACTAAATATTAATTAAGTGATTCAAAGGAAAGCAAAATCTTCAAACATTTTTCAGTTTATATAGTGAATGTTTGAGTTTGTAAAGAAGAATACAAATACTGCTATTTTTTTGAACAGTCTAATATTCACTTTTCTTCAATTTTTTTAGAGGAACAACACAAATTTGATATATTTTTCTTCATGTTTTGATTTGGAATAGAATGTGTAGTGTTCCCAATGCATTTGTGTGTATGGAAATAAAAGCTATTAGAAGGATTTTGAGCTTTATTCACTTTTTTTAACACACTGCTATTATTTTGAACACAACTGTACATCTGCATGCCCATTGGAATACATTACTGTCCTTTTTCCATCCGTAAAAGTAGAGCTGAAAAAAGATAGAAGGAAAGCTTGTGAAATGGGAGAGGAGACACCTTTTAATTAAAGGCAAAAAACATGTAAGTACCATATCCTGATTTACAAGTATGATGAATTCTTGCTGCAAAAACTGGATAAACCCATGCTTTTTTGCTACTCTTTATTTATAGTAGGGTTTAGAGGTCAGATGAAAAGATTAGTAAAATATCACACATTTGATAGTTATATAGTACATGTACTTTTATTATTATTTTATATTTATAATATTGTTATATTATTACATATATATAATACATATTTTATAGAGGGCTATACTACAGACCAAGAAGGACAGTAATGGAGAACAGAGAAATCTGGCTACCAAAGAGGAATAGTTGGGAGCAATGCTCTCATAAAGCTGAATTCACACTATGTGCGGTGACAGGCGTTTTCTGCATTGTAAAAAGCCAGTCAGTGCAAGGACACACAGAAAACAATTGTTTTCTGTGTGTCCCATTCACACTCCAATGCAGCCCAGAGCTGTGCTGAAGCAAGCTGCAATAAAATGCAGATATTCTGCATTTTATCACAGTGCACTGTACAGGATCGCATATTCCTGTACAGCAGCATGGCGCTTCGCACTGCTGTACAGTGACATAAAGTGTACTTTTGTACACTTCAAATAAAGTTCAGTGAACAAAAAAAAAAACTGGAGCCATGTTATGCACTGAATCGTGCACTACACCGCCCCCTACCACACCCATAATGGACAGCTGTTCAATATAGATCAGATTATATTTTTGGGCAAAATAATGAAAATGAGTTTATTTCAAGGGGCTCATTTACTTTTTCTTTTATGTATAATTGTGATTTTGTAATACTAACAAACGTTTTATTCATTCTTGTTATGTGAAAGCATAACTTTAAAGAGAATGGGCATTTGTAATAATCTTACTCTACATTCTTAAACTGTTATCAAAAGGCAAATATATAAATGGGAAAAATATGTGCTAATTCCTAATATAATGTATAGCAGCTAGCACAATACCCTGATACCAGATGTGCCAACAGTTATTCAAAAAGTGCAGTGCATACCTATAAATATTGTGACAGACAAAACATCATCATGAAATTGTGAAATATTACCCAACAGTAATGTATCCTATATGTAAAACAGCAATTTTATGTGTGAATGCAAAGCCAGATATTACCTGATCAAAGTATATTAGTGTATCCAATACTCAATATCAATGTGCAATATAGTATAAACAAACAAAAAAAACAACCATTGTGTACACAAACATAAGACCAAATATTACCCTATCTGGGTCATAATACATACAGTAATAATATTATGCAATATTTGTTTTGTGAATAATAGACATAAATTCTATGCACTTGTGTCGATAAAAATGTTTATAAAGAGAAAGTCTCAACTCCAGAAATGAAATAGTAATCACACTCTTAGTCATGTGCTAGGTATCACACTGGAATTCACTAGTGCACACCGCTCCATGTAAAGAGAAGGAGGGGGGTTTATCAGAAAGGTTTGGCCCTCTGTTTAACAAGTAGTCAAATACAGCTGTATGTTGATAGGCTCCTTAACGCCTGCTTTATCCAAAGAGCACCGGCATACAACCACAAAGAGTACTCCGGTCCTCCGTTTGAATCCGCTGTTTACAAAGGTTTAGCCTTCCAGACTCAACATGCAAAAACAGAACTGTCTTCAGGTTCACTCTGTTTGTATGATGTGGCTTGGAAGCCCCTCAACACTTCGATCTCCAGAGCAGTCCACATTCAGACATAATATTGTGTGCTGATAAAGACGTGTAAATTGGGACCAAGAAAAATAAGGAGATGGGAGTGGGAGATTCTTAAAGGGGCATTAAATACCAGGAGTACATTCTCTGTTCAGAGTGCAGAGTTCAGGAGTATGCTACATACAGAGCGCAGAGTTCAGTAGTACGCTACATACAGAGTGCAGAGTCCGGGGGTACACCACAGACAGAGTGTAGAGTTCAGGAGTATGTAACATACAGAGCGCAGAGTTCAGTAGTATGCTACATACAGTGTGCAGAGTCCGGGGTACGCCACACACAGAGTGCAGAGTTCAGGAGTATGCTACATACAGAGTGCAGAGTTCGGGGGGTCCCACACACAGAGTGCAGGGGTGCGCAGTGTGTTCAGACTGCAGAGTTCAGGAGTATGCTACATACAGAGTGCAGAGTTCAGGAGTACGCTACATGCAGAGTTCAGGGGTACGCTACACACCAAGTTCAGGGGTGCCCCACACAAAGAGTGCAGAGTTCAGGAGGGCCCCACACACCGAGTGCAGAGTTCAGGGGTATGCTACACTCCGAGTGCAGAGTTCAGGGGTGCGTCACATACAGAGTACAGAGTTCAGGGGTGCCTCACACACAGAGTGCAGAGTTCAGGTGTATGCTACACACAGAGTGCAGAGTTCAGGTGTATGCTACACACAGAGTGCAGAGTTCAGGTGTACGCTACACACAGAGTGCAGAGTTCAGGGGTGCGCCACATACAGATTGCAAAGTTCAGGGATGTCCTACACACAAATTGCAGGGTTCAGGGCATTGGAACTCGGGCACCAGTGGAAAAGGAAAGGAGATCAAGGAGGGTGCAGCCTACCATGCAAACCCATGACTGCACAGTACCCCAGGAAACTTGCATCTCCCTTGTCCCTGTTCTGCACTCAGTGAGATCTGCTTAGCAGATCAGTTCTGCCGTGTGGGTTAAACAAGCTATCACTTGTAAACACAGAAACCAGACCTCTGTGTTTACAAATGATAGCGGTGAGTAGGGGGCAGGGGACCTGAGCCAGAGGTAGTAGAACTGAATTCCACCAAGTTCCAGCTGATAAAAGCCCTGATGATAGGTAAAGCTACACTATCTGCTATTACAGTTCAAGAGGGGACATTCAGATTATTACAAATGCCCCTTGGTGCCTAATTCTCTTTAAATTTTCTGTCTACGGCCAGGTGGCAGGATGGATCGTCCAGTCACACTGTGATTGGCTGTCACAGTAGTCACATGGAGTTGGTCCTGATGGCTCCCGATCATTAGCATGGACCAAGAGGTGTCTTTGATCACTCGATCACTGCACAGAGAGCACACTTTCAGTACAGAAAGCTCTGCTGCCCAGGGAAGCATATGTGTGACGTGTGGGTGTTAGAGCCCACCCTCTTCCCCACCATACATATGCATTACAAGGGTGGCACAAGGTTAATGCACAAGGAGCTGTAGGAGGGAGCTGCCATTATTTGGCTCCTGGACTGCTTACTAGTTGCAGGGGAGCAAATCTGTTCATTAAGAGGAGTCAGGATTCTTACAGATCATTTCTTGTGAACTGTTGCATTGTACCGAACATTTGTTTTCAATCTGAGCTGATCAGTGATAGGACATTTGTCTCATGAATATAGACCAAATTATAAGCAAAGCACTGGAGG